ATGAGAATGAAGAATTACTTTTAAAAAGCTTTATGGTGATTTCGTTTCTTCGAAAAAATGTTGCCCTTCCCAGGTGAAAAATGTGTTTGATGTTAAACTCAACCCTGTAAAAAAGCGTGTTTTTGCCTTCTTGTCCTTGTCTAGCTCACCCATTTCATAATATTGCCGTTTTTAACAACCATGTGATGTTCAGGGCAACCATCTTCTCTGACAAAGCTTCACAGGGCAGGGAATGTGATTTTTGCCTTACAATAGTGTAACATTTTAAGAAACGAACACAAAATTTTCTCACCCTTTGCCTTTAATTTAGAATCGAACACAAAAAGGGAAAGGGGCAATCAAAAGGCGACATTTTTTGGTAGAAACGAAATCGTCATTAGAAAAACCTGACACATCTGGTTTGGCTTGTGGGCGCTGTTTAAACAACGATCTCGCCATTATACTAGATTCTAATTGTTTATTAAAAATACTTGACATCCGCATTCGCATCCGCGGATGTCTAAAATTCTACATTCGCAACATCCCTACTCTGAACTACATAGTGCAAAACGGCTGCAGAGAGGGACAGTTGAAACTTTCGGTGTGCTAGTTGCGCTCTGTTGAGAAGCAAATGCACAAATTCTCAATTCTCGTACAATACGAAAATAGCTCAGCGGGAAGACCTCCGACTCTAATATCGTTGGTCGAAGCTTCAAATCCCAGTGGAGGAAGGTGTGATTTTCAGATTTAATAAATTTAAATTGTTCAGTGCCGCTTAAAAATTGAAGAGAAAATAATCAAATTTAATATAAATAAAATAAAATAATAAATAAAAATTTAATAAAATGCAATCTGTAAACGAACAGAAAAAAATTAAAAAATATCAAACAATCGAATAATCAGATTTTTTTTAAATAAAAAACGTATTGTGTTCAGAAAAGCAAAAATATCCAATAATCGAGTTTTACAATTTTTTCTCATAAAAAACGTATTGTCCCAGAACTGGTCAAAATGGAACCAGTTCAGAACTTGTTAGAAAGTTCTGCAGAGGGGAGCAATTTCCACTTCGTAGGACATCGCCATTTAAAAAGAGACAGTTGAAAGCATTGCGTTGGGATAGATCGAGAACCAGTACCGCCTCTTAACGAGCTAGTTCTGCACTAGCGCGATTACCTGCAGGGTATGTTAAACATATACGAATTCAGACTGTAAATACGCTATTCGATTATTTTGGTCTGAGAGCCCCTCGGAAGGTTAAAAACTAAATTTCCAACACATAAACTCCTCTTTATTTTCATCAGATCGGTAGACGTTAAGAAAGTACCTCGAAGGTGTGAAACAAAATATAATATTTCCTTCCCTAAAGCCCTTTTTTTGAGTCACACGATTGGGCTACCAAGTTACACCAAGTTTTATGTTGCTCTTATGTATTTAAAGATGAGGCAAATCTGACCATAAATAGGATCTTTAAGGATAGCTATCAATCCCTGTATATAGATGTAGGTGTATCAAATTCCAATACCTTATCATCAGTGGTTCCATGTATAAGCGATATGGAAATTGCATTTTGTATGGGAGGTGCCTCATGTATTCGAACGGGATACACATCACTTTTCGCCATAAGTTCAACAACATCATCCAACATCTACCACTTTTCGCCATAAGTAAGTTATTGATAGCATAAAAGCATAAATATCTGTGTCGAATCTCAGGACGTTAGAATAAGCGGTTCAATAGGAAAGAGATTTGAGAAATTTAGTTTGTATGGGAGGTACCACGCCCCTTTTCCAAAATCCACCACTTTCCACCGTAAGTACGGTGTTGATAAAATATTTTCTCTGTAAAGTCTGTAAAGCGATATGAGAATTTCGGTTTGTATGGTTGGGGACACGCCCCTTTTTCCATTATCTACCACTACCGTCGTAAATTCGGTATAGCATATGTTGCTGTGTCAAATTTGAGGACGTTAGCATAAGCGGTTCCAGAGATAAGCGATATGAGAATCTCAGTTTGTATGAGAGGTGCCACGCCCCTTTTTCCAATACCTACCAATTTTCGCCATTAGTACGGTATTGATAACTTATGTTGCTGTGTCAAATTTCAGCACGTTAGCATAACGAGGGCTTATATTCAATACCCTCTATCCGCACTTTTCACAAAAATGAGTTTCTGATATAACAAGTAATTTGTAAGAAAAAAACAAAACCGACTTCAAATCTCATATAAAAATTTAGGAGTACCGTTAATTATTTCATGATCCAGTGATCGGATCTAAACCAGATTAGGATGGGACCATCTCTGAGACACTACCTTTCCGATGCAATCGATCTAAATCCGATGAAATCGGTTGACGTGGTCCAAAGTTATGCGGTAACATGAATTGATAACCTCCTCCTTTTTTGAAGTCGGTTAAAAATCCAACTAAGACTTAACTGTCATCGGTGATTTTAATGCTGACTTTGTATACGGCTTGACAGAAGAATTAACTAATCAATTGCAAAGTCAGAATTAACATCAGTGATGACAGGTATGTCCCAGATGGGTTCTAACATCACAAAGTTGTTGAAATTTCAACACTGATTTGTGCTAAATTGGTTTGTATACTTTTTTTTATCAGTTTTGGTCACTTTTAGAGGTGCGCGAAACACTACAAAATTATTTCCTATTTAGTTGCCTGGGAGAACAAATAATGACCGCACGGTTCCGATATTACAATTCAAGTGTTTATTACAATTCTTCATTTCATATTCTTAACCTACTGCCTAACCTAACGCCTTAACTTAGAGGTATTAATCAGGAGAAGAACCGGGGAAACATGAGAGAGTAAGAAGGGGTAAGTATACATAGGTAAGTACATAAGATCATAAGTATGTAGTGGCAGTAAATATACAGAGGTAAGTATATACAAGTGTAAGAGATAGTAAACATGAAGTAAAAGCGAGAAAGGTAAGTAGAGCGAAAGTAAGTATATATGTAGATATTTGCATAAATACGAAATTAAATAGAATATATATATATATATATATATATAT